CCATTATTCACTTGTAAGAGTGTTTAATTCTATGCTAGGATGTATTTTACTAGAAAAGGAAGAGTTTTTGATGTTCAGTTGGGTCCCTTGATGAAATTATCCATAGGGTAGCCCTCAAACTATTCAACTAGGTACAGAAATGATAACTGTGTTTAGGCAAGGAAAAGGCTGGATGATGCACCTTGCCTTTGAAAAATTATTTGATTAAAAAGTTCTGTGTTCAGCTACATAGCTGCTTCTGCGGGTTTCATGGTCTTTATTCTGAGAAGCTGATCTTACCAAAGAGCAAGGTCCTTGGTAAAACATCAAGATATCAGTTGAAGCAATATTAAGCTGATGTTTGCACTCATTTGCAAGGCCTAAACCAGCTTCAAATTGTCTTAGTAGCCCATTGTAGTGAGGTGACCTGGGATGCCGGTTGTAATGGTTGATTATGTCAATTTGAGAAGCTTCTAAGCTTAACTAACTCAGCTCAGCAATGTTACGCCAACCTTAGGGTGACTTGTTACCTGGACAGTATAAAGGGGAAATGAAGAAAGACAGACTTGCTTCTGTTCTTTGGAGGAGCACAAGTCCTCACCTTCAGCTTGGACTTCATCTCCTGTCTTCTGACGCAGACTCTTCGGTTTCTGCCTCAGATCCTTCAGGCTTCAGGTGCAGACTCTTCAGCCTACCATTGCAGACTCATCTGCCTCCTGATACGGACTTGTACAGGACACTCCAGACCTTAGACTGAAACCTTTAGCCTCTAGTGAGCAGACATCCTCTTCATGGTTCCTCATTCAACTCTGTGGCTGACAATCATAAGCCAAATTTGTAGTTTCTTATACATTTATGTATCTTGTGTTGTATCTGTTTCCCGAAGAAACAGATGATTGGTACCCTGGTGTTCCTTGCCAGCTTTCAAAAGCAAATCCCAGGCCTTTCTGGAAGACAATTTTATATTCTGATCCTGAAATTATCATTGTTTTAAATTGTTTTCTATTTACAATGTTCTGTACCAAAATAACAAGCCATATTAAAATAACATGATAAAAGTTAAAAGAAGTAAAATAAAATTAAAAGAATATATATATAAATATATTATATGTTTATGCACATCAAAAGACATTCAGATAATGGAGTCTCAGCCACAGATTTTTAAATAATCATGATATATTGACATGTTCAAAAATATAAAAGAGGAAAGAGAATTTTGGGGTATAAACTAAATCCTGTAGTAAACACACCAGAAATGAAAAATGTGATGATAACTAGGAACTCAATGGATGGATAAACAACTAAGAGAAACTGCTGAAAAGAAAATAACTAAATTTAATACTGATGAGGGTAAAATATTTAAAATGAAGTTTAGTATAAAAGAAGAAAATCTGGATAAGAGAAAAAAGGAATGGAATGGAAAAAGTAATCTGTATATTTGGAAGCGAACAGGATAGGAAAGAGGTTGGGCAGAAGGAGTATTCTAGGAGATAAGGACTGAGTTCCCTCCAACTGAAGAGAGATATCCAGCACATATTAAAAGAAACACTCAAAGCCTGAAGTTGAATAAATACAATGAAGTTTCAAGTAATATTAAGGAACTGAAAACCAAAGACAATGAAAATACCTTAAGAGTAGCCCAAGAAGAAAGAGCAACACAGGCAACTGACATTTGAGCATTAAGAGTGAAAGCCAGGAGGTCACGGATAGACATCCGGAGCACTGGAAAATTGGGAACTTAGAACTGTACGTCCATCAAGAATATTCTAAAAAATTAAGGTAAAGTGAAACTAGTTCAAAATAAGTGAAAAATGAAGTTTTTGGCTGATGGTCCTGTATTAAAGAAATAAAAGGTTCTACAATAAATTCAGATTGAAAGTTGAGAATGTAGGAGAAATAAAACGTGGAGCAGGGTGCAGCAGGATATACCTACAATCCCTGAACTTTGGGAAGCTGAAGCAGGAGGACTGTGAGTCAAAATTCTATCTGGGAAACTCAGTGAGGCCCTGTTTCAACATTAATAAGCATTGGGAATGAGCTCAGTGTTAAGGCCCTGGGTTTAATCCTCAGTACTACAAAAAAATGCATATATATGTGGCTAAATATGAATAAGTTTTAATTATATAAAATAATGTCATGTGGGAAGAATAAGTACAGATTATCTTAAGTTATGAGGGCTCAACTTAAAGGTTTTTGGACTTACAGTGGTGTGAACGTCATACACATTCACTAGAAATCATGCTTTGAGAATTTCGACCTTTACTCTGTCCAGTGGTATGTGGTACAATACTTTCTCATGATGCTGGGCAGCAGCAGGGAGCCACAGCTTCTAGTCAGCAAAATGATTAGAAGAGTAAACAATCACTACTTTATCAGGTACTGTGTTGCAAACTATGATGTTCTGTAGTTTAGGTATACTAAACACATTTCAACTAAATGTTGTTTTCAACGTATGATGCCTTTATTGGGGCATAACCCTGTAATAAATCAAGGAGCATCTGGAGATATAATCAAAACTCAGTTAGTAATGGGATATAACTTGGGGAGTTAGTGGAACTGAAGTATTGTAAGATCCCTGAACTTTCCAGGAAAAACAAGGTATATTCAAAATTAGGCAGATTTCAATAAGTTAAAAATATATATATTTTATCTCTAGGTGACCCTGCATAGAATATATACCTTACATTAAAAGAATACAGAAAACATAATAGAAAAAAATGAAATAAATGAATATACTTGAAACAAAACAAAGTAAGAAATGATAGAAAAAGAATACAGAAAGGTAGAACAGAAGTAGGAGGGATAAGATAAGTCAAAACCCAAATATATCATTTATTGCACTAAATTTATATACATTAAAAACACCAATTTAAAAATGTAATTTGTTAGGCTAAAAAAATTAAAATTCAATAATATGCTGTTTATAGAGATTTAACATCAATATATGAATTTGTACAGAACATTTGAAAATCAAAGCTTAGGAAAACATTAACTGAAAGGAAGTTTATATAGCCATATTTTTTAGAGTTCTCTACAGGAACATATTCAGTATAAAGTATACATATGATTATACAAGGGATTTATTAAGTAGGCATAAAGGGCCTGAAGTGGAAGAATCCCAATGGTTGTCTGCTGGATCAAAGGCAGAAGAATCCAAAATGGTCATCTGCAAGTTGTGGAACCAGAGGGTCCAGTAGCAGATGAAGACCTGGAAGCTCACTGCAGAGTCATTGCTATGAATCTGTGTCAGGAAGCCAAAGAGTCTGCATGGGAGGCTGAAGAATCTGTGCTGCTAAAGGAATTGGAGAGCAATGTCCAAAGAATGTAGCAAAGACCAGAGAAGGAGCTACTCCAGAAGAGGGAAATACTTCCTTCTTCTTTCCCTTTTTTTCTGTCCAAGCCACAAGTCTTCTGATTGGCACTATCCACATCCAGCGTGGGTCTTTTCCTCTAAATTTGTTGACCTATATGTCAATCACCCACAGACATACCTAACATTTACTAATCTGCTAGCTGGGTTTTATACTTAAGTCCAGTTGACATATCACAATTAATGATCACACCATACACACCATATTAATATTAAAGAAGAGTTAAAAGTAAAATGTTACTAGGGATGAAAATGGACATATCATAACTGCAAAAAGTCAGTTGCTCAGAAAGATGTAACAAGTCCACATTTATAGCCTACTAGTAACAGCTCCAAATATACATGAAAACATTTAATATGTCTGTCTCAGTAAATAATAGGATATATAGACAAAAAATATGGGTATAAAACCTCTTAATGTGATTAACCAAATCGACCCAATTGACACAGAAAGCACTGTACCAATAATTCATTTTTTTACCATGGTAAAATATTACATAACATAAAATTAACCATTTTTACATGTACATTTTTCAAGTATGTGTTACATGTACATTCACATTGTTGTGCAATCAGCATCACCATCCAGCTCCAGAAACTTATTTTTAAAATCACAGACAACATACACCAAAACTGACCATATAATGGATCATAAATCTAGTAAAGAGCAAGTTTTCAAAAGATTGAAATAGTACAGAATGTATTCTCTAAACCAAATAAAAATAAGCTGGAAATCAAAAGCAAGTAGAGAACTTGAAAATCCTTAGCCTCTTAGAATTAAGCAGTGTACTTCTTAATAGTTATTGTATCAAGAAATAATTACAATGAAAATTTTAAAAATATTTTTGAATGAAACAGAAAATTTCACATATCAAAACCACAGTGATAAGCTAGATATGGTGGCTCATTCCTTATTTCAGCACTCAGATGCCAAGGCAGGAAGATCAAAACTTTGAGTCCCCCCACCCCAGGCAAATTAACAAGACCCTGTCTCAAAATTAAAAAAATTTAAAAGGTCTCGGGGATGTAGTTCAGGGGGAGTGCCCCTAGTTTCAATCTACCAGTACTGCAACACAAAATGGAAACTTTTGTGATGTAGCTAAAGATATGCTTAGAGAAAATAAATAACAAATCCATGTAGGAAAACAAAAAGGCTGAAGATTAAAAACCTACAATTTTTTCTTGAAAATTATCTGATTTGGCAATTATTTATGTCAGTAGACTTATTTTTGTTACTGAATTTGAGTAATCCTTTATTTTTTTTCTAGAAAGTACAAGTTTGGGGGTTGGGGTAGGCAGAAGAAACGTGTTCTGTGTCCTGTTCTGTGTGTCAGTGATGGAAAATGGTGATGCTTTCTGTTCTGCCACAAGCGTGGGATGCCATTTGAGTGTGACAACAAAGTGGAAACACCATGCTCAGTTTCCTTTTGGAAATGTCAGGGGAATCCGTCTAGCTTCCAAGCTGCATTGCAGGCTAAGAACCATCTTCCCCCTAAATGTGGCAGAAAGTTTTATGACTCTCACCCTCAGACATACACAGTGAATCCGTTTCCTAAGAATTTCTACAATTCAGAGTTGACTCTTAATTTTGTTTTAATCATTTAACTTAGATATCAGCTCAAAAGCCAAATTTACCCTGTTCTTATTTTAGTTGAGAAGATAAATTTCAGCACAAGCAGCCATCCAGTAATGTCATACCACCTCGTCTGTTGGAGCAGATTCTTCCTGAGAGGACTCGGGAAAGGTACTCTGTGATTTCAGCATGTCAACCACACATCCATGTGTTTGAAGACATGGCGCATATGGCAATTAGAAAAAGAAACCAGATTACACTAATAGGACAAGTGCATTCTGAGTGTATTCTTTATTTTCTCAAATATGTGCAGATTTTCTCTTATTCTGGAGTAAAAGAATTTCAGCTAAATTTTGGATGAACTCATTTCCTAGACTAACCTTTCCTTTATACCACATTGCTTTACTTTTCTTCCAGTGAGATTTTTGATGGTTGGGCTGATGAAATGAACCTGTTGTAGCAGACTACTTCTAGCCACATTTGGAATTTATCTGACCAAATTTGTCTCTAAATTTGATCTCTTTCTCCTCCTCCTCCCTTTATCTTTGTGCCCTTTAAGCTAATTCTATGTTGTTCTCCTCTTCTCACTCTGAGGTGCTATGAAATGTCTTAAATGCTGGTTGACCACACAGCCCCCTGCTCTGTTCCCCTTTGCTGGCCCAAGGTGAGCAGGTTGGTTAGAATGTGCATTCACTCATGGAATTCAGCTATGCTCTCACAAATGGCAAGACAAGAAAATGAGGAAAACCCGCCAGCAGTGCTATTACAAAAGTTTATAGAAAACAGCAAACATTATATGTTACATTGAGAGTGCTATGCTTCACACCTGATTGGAGCCAAGATCTCTTTATATCAGACTCTCTGGCTCATGAAAATAAGCTGACTGTCATGCTTCTTGGGGTGGCTTGTAAGAATCTGGTGGTCTCTTTCAGGATCAGGAATCTGGGTCAGTAAAATTTAGATCCCATCATTAAATAAAACAAAGTTCAAATAGATATTAGTATGGTAGAGCAATGACTTTCAAATTTTTATGAGTTTAATTGTCAACTGGAGAACCTGTTAAATCACAGATTATTGATTATTTGCCCCATCTTCAGATCTTCTCACTCAAGACCCAGTTGAAGCTGATGCTGCTTGTCTGTGGGACAAACTGTGGAGCTTACTGGGATTAGGTTTACCACTCCTTATATGCACAAATTCAAAATGAAATAACTTACTTTAGCTGGAATGGGCTTTTGTCTCTACAGCTCTTACAGGAATTTTTGTAAGGACCTGTGGTTTTTGTTGGGCCAAATGACAGTTCCTAATACACAGTTCAGCCAAAGCGCAGTGCCTTCATCCCAGTGTGAAGACTGGATATTGATAAGAAGTGAAGCTGTGGAACAAAATGACAAGCAAAAGAAGGGCTGTTCCATTAACTTATCAATTTTGAAATTAGTCATTCACAATGAAGCTAATATTTCAGTTCCATTATCCCAGATTTAGGAGAGGAGACAGCCAGATTAAAGAAACCTACTGCTAAGATATTGAAGCTTGGCTTTAAAGAAATTACATGAACCTCAAAATACAGATCTAAACATATTTTCATAATAAAACTGGAATTGAGCTATGTGTGCCGCAAGATGCTAGTATATGGAAGTTAATCTTCACTTCTCTACCATTTCAGTTCTCCCTGTGCTGAATGCACTAAAGCTGCATTCTAGAGTTCGTGTGTCAGCTAGAAAGTAGTTGTAAGTTTTGGGCAGAGTGGCAGACTATGTACCTGGCCAATACTTACTGATTGGAATGAAAAATGCTGCATGAATTATAAACAATGCTCACTTTATTTATTCTTTTCCAGAGATAACATGAAAGAACATGTAAAGGCTACACAGATGAGAATATGAAATTCAACACATAAATTAGCACCAATATTAGCTTGTGCTCTAATGTTCTTGGTGAACTTTAATGACTTTGAATTTTGCCTTTGCGGTAAATAGGTAGAGGTAAAACTTTTCCCTGGGGTGTCTTACAGGGTTTTCCTTATAAATTTAGAGTCCTAAAGGAATGTAATATGGTTATTAATGTGAATAAGGAAAAAACAAACAGAAAGGTGCAGCTAGGATAAAAATTTATCATTGCTGCTGACTAAAGAGGGAAAATATTTTCCCTAAAATTAATGGCCAGTACCTAACCCTTATATGGGACTGATGTTAGAATTGATTCTACTTATATAACCTATGGTACAGTTCAACTAGGGAATTTACTTGAAAATGGTTCTGGATTAATTTGAAGCTTGATTCTTTTCCTGTCTTTGCTTAAAAAATTATTCTACCCCACACATAAAAAATTCTAAAAGATGAAGTTTCAAAGCAAATAAATAGCTCAGTCAAACATCATAAAACCATATTGTGGCACTATTCACAATAACTAACGTATGGAATCAGCCTATGTGTTCCCATCAACAGATGAATGGATTACAAAAATGTGGTATATACACACACAGTGGAGCATTATCCAGCCATAGAGGAAAATGAAATCCTGTCATTTGCAGCAAAATGGAAGGAAATGAAGGGCCTTATGTTAAGAAAAATAATCCAGACACAGAAAAACAAGTAGTGAATGTCCTATCTTATATATTGAAGGTAAAAAATGTGATCTCAAAGTAGAGTAATGATAACTAGAGGTCATGTGGGGAGGGGAACTGGCAAAGAAGAAAGTTGGATATGATCAGCACATACTCTATGGATATATAGAAACATCATCCAGAACCCCATCGATACATACAATTGAGGTTTTTAATAAAAAATTAAAATCCTTAAACCCACAAAGAAACAAGGCAACATGAATAAATGTTGGTAGAAAAAACTGCAGGCAGAATCAGACGTGTAAAATGTTTAGGTACTGAAATGATCAGACGTACAATTTAAAATAGTATGTTCAATATATTTACAAGATAAAAGGAACATGTTTTTAAAAAGGAGACAGGCATAAGCAACTATAAAGAATGATCAAAATGATTCAATTGAAAGAATCAAATTAAATTGAAAAATGTAAGAACTGAAATCAGGAGCCCTAGATTAAAGAATATGGCAGAAGGAGTCAGAAATAGACGAGTGCTGGTTTAGTGACAAGAGGAGGTATCAGCAATCACAATGATGACCAACTGAGAATGCAGGTGAGAGAGGCAAATACTGCACGTATAAATGAAAGTTTAAGAGACATGTAGGATGAGAATTATTGGTCTAACATATATCAAATCAAAATCCAGACAGTTATTTTAGGAAGAATGAAAAATGATATATTAAGTGCATAATTATTGAGAGTTTTTATGAGGTTTTTAGCACAAATCTTCAGAACCAGTAGCTCAACATAAATAAAGCAGTATAAATATAAATCTGCACTTACATAGAATAATTGCAAAACATCAAAGGCAAAAAAGGATCTTAAATGCAGCCAGAGAGAAATGACGTATTACTTACAAAAGATGGTATCTAGACTTTTCAACAGTAACAATAGAATAGCTTATAAATGGAAAGAAAATAACTCCACTTGGAGTTTTACATAGAGAAAAGTACAGGAATAAGATCTAAATAAGAACATCTTCAGACAAATATAAATAAATAAAAATTGTTTTCACTAACGGATAAACTTCAGGTAAAAGAAAGTGATCTGATACAGAAGACCTGTAATGGAGGAGGGAATCATAAACAAGGGTAATAGATGGTACACAGATGGAAAAAAATAAACAGACCCTGACTGTATAAAATGTCTGTCTGTTTTTTGAGGAATAGAACATAACTAAGATAATCAAGATTTTGATTGGGGATTGGAATTAAAATGTTTTAGCTTCCTATAATTCTTGTGAAGATGATACAACATTAATTTTGGATTTTGACAATTTACTTCCACATTTAAAAATTGCTAGGATTACCACAAGAAAGAGAAAATGCAGAGTGTATAGCACACAACTTTCAAATTTGAAAAACCAAATGAGAAAAAAGGTGTAATCTAAAAAATAGAATAGAAGAAAATTTAAAGAGAGAAATAGAAAATAGCAGGGCAGTAGAAAATAGATGAACAGATGGTAAAAATAAATCTAAATGTAATAAATCACATTATACCATAAATGTAAGTAAATCAAATTCCTTAATCAGAAAACAGAGTTGTCAGTTTGGATTTAAAAACTCAAGTTAAATGCTTTTAATAAAAGATGTACTTAAAAACCAAAGACATAGAAAATTTGAAAGATAAACAATAGAGAAAGATCCCCCATTCAAATTCTAATCAAATTAAGTCTGCCACTGCCATACTAATTTCAGAACATTACCAGGGATAAAGGCAGTCCTCACATAATAAAAAAAAATCAAATTGTTAGTAAAAGATTACAACTTGAAAATGAAATGTATCTTTACAATTCATTCAACAGAAAGAACAGAGCTGTAATAGACAAATTTACTGTAGTAGCTGGGATTCTGTCCTTAATTTTTAGTAGCTGATAAAACAGAATGGGGTGAAAGATATTAATAAGGTTATGAAATATTTGAGCAACACATAACAAATTGAACTTAATGAATACGTTTGTAGAACACTATAGCCAACAACTGCAGAACATAAATTCTTTCAAGGACACATGAAACATATATGATCATCTACCATGTACTGCCATGTACTAAGCATCTAACCAGGTACCATGACCTCAAAACATCATTATTACATAGACTACTTTTTTCTGGTCATAATATAATAAAGTCATAAAACAATAACAGATTAACCAGAAAAAACACATATGTCTTGTTGTGGCTTACATCTAAATGTTGCCCTAAAGTCTTATATATGCATATATTTAAGAATAGATAAACTCATATATTCATAAGTGGGACTTTGGTGAGGTGTATAATATTGGATCATGGATGTGTAATACTGGACTAGTCCGCTGATTTGTTTAACATAGTTCTGTGTGTGCATAATGGACTTCACAAAGAGGGAAGTACAATCCTAGTTGGCTACAAGCAATAGGCTTGTAGCCTGGGTGGAATAAAAAAGGAAAGAAAGAAGGTTCACTGCCTCCTGCCTGCTATGGCATGAAGTATTTCTCCTCTGCCATGCTGCCCTACTTTGGAGCCAGCCAATTATAGACTGAACCCTCTACAAAGTGTGAGCTAAAAAATAAACTTTTCTTCCTTTAACTAGTGGGTCTTAGGTATTTTGTCCCAGTAACATTAAAGTAACTAAGACAGTTTGTAAATTAAGAAATATAGTTGTCTCTCAGTATGTATGGGGGATTGGTTTCAGGACCCTTGAGGAGTCTGAAGTCTAAAGATTCTTAAACCCTCTAAAATAAGGT